GACAAGAAAAAAATAGACTGCATAAGTCCAGGGATGACTCTTAAATTCAGAGATGATACCAAGTCATTACAGTTGGTTGTACTGCTGTCCTTGTAGAAGTTCATCATAAAGGCTTGCCTTCTCTTGCTTAAGGGAATAAATGCCCAGGAGTAAAGATCAGCGACATTTGGGCTCTTTAGAGCCTTAGAAATTATGCACCCAAGAAACAAGATGTTAATCCTAATCTTAGGTGGCCTAAAATTCATAAAGGCTTAGCTCTCATCTGTCTATGCATTTAAATAATTAGTCTCATTTAAATTAGCTGCAGTAAAGACCTAATTATTTTTCTACTGCAGCTTCCTCCCTCTCCCCTAAGCATTTTGTGACAGAGTGCTGTAGACTCTTTCTGCAGCTTCAAATCTATGATTAACTGTTTTTAAATTATTAAACAGGAGTGTCTGAATTATCTGTTCATCTACTTGTAGACGCAGTTTGTCTACCTTGATTGTACTCCTTTTTATTATCCTTTTCCTCAAAGTACAATTTCTCCTGAAATCATTTTATGTCCCTAAAAAGTTATGGCATCCTTTCCTTTGCAAAGTGGAAGGATTTAAAAAAAATCCTTCATCTTTCCTTCTAACAAGAACAGGATGTGCAATAACTTTGGTTTGTATAAGCCTTCCTGGACAGCACTAGAGTAACTCTGGAATCAATAAAATGTTATAAAGAAGTAAACTTTTTGTGAAGGTATGTTGCTGAACAAGGATACATTAAGAAGAAAATACTTCAGACCTCTGTTTTACAGTAACTATACAAAATACAATAAAGTATGAGGATTGTTCCCGCTTTAGTTAACTGAATGCATTCAGTAGAAAAACATGAGTATGTCACTAAGTATGGATTTATTGCACGCAGGAATTAGGGAAACTAATTGTCCAAATTTAGAGTTGCACTTATTACCTAGAAAATGAAAATAATAAGCCTTACTGGACCTACAATCTTATAGAATTTTGGCTATAAGAGATGGAAAAGCACTGGTACGACACGGGCCATGCTCCTTCAGGTTTGTTTGACTTGCAGCAGTACCCTGGCATCGCACACCACCACCACTTATTTATTCAGCTTCCACTAGTGAGTCAGGCAAAGCTGTGCTGAAGTTTATTTGCACTGTAATTTTAAGCGTCAGTCCCTGGTCTGACTGCAGTAATAAACTGTAGGATTTACTGGAGAGTAAGAAGAGCCAGAGTGAAAGTAACAAATCACTCATCTTCCCGTTCTCCGTTATGCTCAGTGAGCACCACGGGCGTATGTAACGTTTTAAAAACTGCGGAAACAATAGCGAGACAGAACAAACGTGTTTTAACTTCTCTTCTACGAAATTTAAAGGCAAATTACAATCAGGAGAACTGCTTGTGTTACGGCACAACATTTGCAAAGATATAAACAGCAGACACATGCCTAGCTCTCACTCTCCCGTTTGTATGCTTGTTGAAAAATGAACATAAAGGATACCTGAAATACTATATTGCATGTACTGAATAGTTTAGTCCTTAAATTTTGTGTATTCTACTTCGTACAGAGAAAAGAAACTAGAGCCATATTTCAGTGTAGAGTAGGCAACACCTTGGAGGACAAGGAGGAATATGAACGCCTCCCAACTATTAAGGTAGATGTCTTGAGAGCCTGCCTCTTCTCTTCTCTCTCTGCCCTCCCGCCCCAACCCCCCCAGGGTGAGGGACATGTACGTTACTCTTCACACCTGACACATTGTCCATCGTTTCAGCTATGTTAGTAACGTCAATGGATATTGCCCTTGGCTCCATGCTGGTACGATGCAAAGAGGCAGCTGTTACTTTCTGCATCTTTAGCACCTCCAAATATGTCTTTGGTTATTAAATACCCTGACAACTTTCTTTGATAGAATCAATGAATTCACCTTTGATTTTACTGTAATGCAAACTCAGAGCAAAATTTAAGATAATAATTCCTAAGAAAACAGGGAAGATGGAAAACTTACTGCAACTCCGCTGTCACTTCAAAAATTATACCAAATTTTTCTTGCTAGAGTGTTGAAAGCTGATCACTTTGCACGCTGTTCGCTGGGTCAGAACATGGCAACCGGCAATCCGAGCGATGAAGTTTATTCTCATGGCAGCGTGCAGTTCACAGAGTTAGAGAGAATGAGTAGGCCTGCAGATAAACTCTTCCAGATCAAGCCATAAGCTAATGCGCTTTAAGGGGATTCACTTCATTAAAGCAAGAATGAGACCATTTGTCAACGAATCATCCCATCCCCTGGTAAAACACTCTGCTTATTGTCCATATTGCACAATTATTAATATACACACAGACACTTAGGTATTCACCAGGGACAAAGGCAGAATAATAATATTTATAGATACAGATGGATATTCTATATAATTTAAAATTTTATTTTAAAACTTCTTTGCGCATACAGTTCTTCAGCGTCTTCCTTTTTTTCATTGCACTGAAAAGTTTCAAAAAACATAAAATATATCCCTTTACTAAACATTTTTTGTTCTCAGGTTACAAAAAGATTAACATTTCACAGTCACAAAGCATAAGTACATTGGTCCAAAACATCATCTTCCAGCAGGTCCTCCATTCTTCAGGACATACAAAACCTAGACAGTTGTACAGATCTCAAAATAAGATTACTTGTCCAATGAAGGAAAGAAAAAAGTGGCAGCTATTAAAAAAAAACTCAAACAAAAATAAGATACTTGTGAAAGACCACAACCAGCAACAGCTTTAAAACAAAAAACCAAAAAAAAAAAAAAAAGAAAAGAAAGAAAAAAGAGTGAATGTGGAGGCGGACAAGGGCACCCTCCTTCAAGTACATCACAGGTAGAAATACAGCAGCACAGTTACAGCATCGTTTGGTCACTCTCTATATGGTAGTCACGTTACTATAACTTCATCAAAGACACATGGAAGAAAACTATTTACACATCAAGAATGTTGAGGGAAAAACAATTCCACACAGTTTGCAATTCATGTTTTATACAACAGTGTTTAAACTATTTGTACAGAAAACGCAAAATAAAAGCAAAAGAACAAATACAGCAGATCTGTTCGGAGCATGTAGTGTCCTTAAAAACCTAGAAGAAGTTCAAAGCCAAAATCTGCCAAAACATCAAGTGCAGTTCTTCAAAAGTATCTTGGAGGCACAGATTCTACCGTACTTCAGAGACCCCTCTGGTCACGTTTTAGCATGGATTTAACTTTAACATGGAAATCCACTGCTAATCCAGCAGACTAAGACTACTTTTCCTTTAGGTTGTTAGTGCTGTTGCTTTTTAACATTTCTTTTATTAAAAACATTCTCTCTCCAGAGTCCTCTCAGACAATAGGCTTTTGTGTTTATAAAGGATGCGTCGCTGCAGTAGTTTAACAAAACGTGGTTGTGCGCCCCAGAAATTTCTGACTTCTTCATCAACTTAAGCAAAGAACACGTTAGTCTGTAGCGCAGGTGAAAACGTCTGAAATGACTGTACTGACTTCCGCAAGAGCATTCATGGGAGAAGGGCAGACGCTACTTGGTTTTGGGTTGCCTAAAAATTGGACTGGACCAGGCCCTAGAAGACAACGTTTATATGAGTAACGCTGTCAGCTAATCTGAATTATATGGCGCACTGCTTCCTTTCCTTGCTACTGTCTCAAGAATGATAACTTGCTTAACTTCGTAAGTAGTTAGTGCCAGTATATTGGCAAGGATCCAGCACTGTGCAATAGCAGTATTAATACAGAGGTAATTTAGGACTGAGGTTCCTTGCCGCTAGGGCATAACAATTTTGGACAGGCAGGGAACTTCGTCAGCCAAAAAACATAGTGCTGCCAGCATCAGGCAGTAACTAAGATGATGTGCCAAGGATATAAAATTTGGACTTGGTGCCTGACTTGCTCCTGCTTGATTAGGTGAGCTATCTCTTCCTACCTCAGGTTAGGAGCTTCACTGAGCAGTAGAGCAGCTACAAGTTTGAGCACAGCAAAATCCATGTCTTGCTGAAAAATGGTGTTGTGCAACATGGATCATAGCAACTTTTCCTCTCTGCCATCACTGACTTGTAATGCTGTGACTCCTAAAATAATTAAACTTATAAAGGGAAAGGGAAATGTTAATTATCCTTACTTCACACACAATACCTCCCCAGCAAATGACTGCTGTCTCCTATTATACTGTGCTTTCATATATGTATATATTTATACCATACTTTGAAGCAGAGCACAGAACGCAGTACAGGCATGGTAAGCAGCTCCTAATGAAAGCAGATAGAAGCAAAAGCCCAAGTACTAAAGTAGTCTATCAGGGATGTACCAGAGACGCTCTAGGGAGGTAAGCATGTACAAGTAGAACAGACTATGAAAAAAAGCAAAACAAGAAACATCACAGCATATAGTTTCAGTCACCTACATCTGACTGGGAAGCTTTTTATTATGCTTGAACATTCTCAGAATTTATTAACATAGGGGACTGCCTGGAGTTTATACAAGCTGAATTACAGTATCTCATTCAGGTTCAGAGTACTGACACTCTACTTCTGCCCTTTCCAGGAAAGGGCTCATAGCTAACACGACCTTACCTAGGCACAGCAGCTGCAAAGAAGCAGGCTGCCTGATAGCAATACTTCAGATGAAGAACAAATATATTGCAGGCCATACCAGGGCCCACAAGATTTTGCTCTGAGAAGCAACCAGTCACTTTGTTCCCACCAAGTTATCCACTCTCCTAACACACCTCTCTAGGGTTGCATTTAAAAACACCACTGAATGAGAAGGCACCCCTTCCTTTGCGTTGAAATTTCAGTTTTATACTCGGATGAACGTTATACTGGAAATTAATTCCCACCACATTGCACTCCATGGTTTTACAATGACTGTGGGTGTGTTGACACCATGTTTCTAAAGAATGAAGACTTAACACATAGGCACCAAAATGTTTGACTCAGGCTTGTAGTTGGCAATTGC